ATAATAATAAGTTGTTAACATATCCTGATGCATGCTCAATAATATTAATAATAAGTTGTTAGCATACTTTTAGCTCCTGGTTCTGGTGTTTGTGTCGTTCTTGTGCTTTTAGACCTGACGCTGTGTTTGATACATGATCACATTTTTATCTCGTATTTAGAACAGTGGGTGGGTTCCAGAGTGGTTCAGATCCATCTGGTCTGGCAGGTTGAGCGCTGTCTGTCAACCTCTGTGATTTTAGATCCTCCTCCCCTGTGTGTGGCGTTCCTCAGGGTTCAAGATTGGGTCCTCTTTTGTTTTCCCTCTTTTTCCTCCCACTTGGCTCCATTTTCAGGAAGCGTAGTATTCCTTTCCACTTCTATCCTGACAACAGCCGATAATCTGCCTTGTGAACAGTGATCCACACCTTCGTTACGACTCGGCTGGACTACGGCAACGCTCGGTGTGGTGGGGTGAGAGCGCAGTCGCCCATTTACAGATGGTGCAAAATGCAGCAACATCTTTTAACAAAGTCTAATCACATCATACCTGATTTAAAATCTCTTTTTGGCTGCAATTCATCCATCCATCATCTTTACCCGCTTCTTCCTATTCGGGTCACTAGTGTCCATGTTGAACAGTCACTGTGTGAGAGACGGGGGACACACTGGACAGGTATCCAGTCCATCACAGAGACACATAGAGACAAACGAGACAAACAACCATTCACTCTCTCATCTAGGGACAATTTAGAGTTACCAATCAGCCTAACATGCATGTTTTTGGTCTGTGGGAGGAAACCGGAGTACCCGGAGAAAACCGACGCATGCACAGAGAGAACATGCAAACTCCACCCAGAAAAATCCCAGACCGGGATTTGAACTGTAACCTGAGAGGCAACAGCTCTACCAACTGTGCCACCGTGCCACAGGCTGTAATTCATTTTAAAATTATTAAAATTATTATTTTAAAATTATTTTATTTGTTTTAAAATCTTTAATTTGTCTCGTCTCTTCCTATCTTTCTGAGCTGCTACTTACTTACATACCTGCCCATTCTCCATGGTCTGCTAGTCAGCTGCTCCTGGACAAAATCCAGGTGTTTCTCAGGGGACAGAGCTTTTAGGGCTTTTAGGGTGGGGTTGGAGGGGGGGGGGGGTATTTAGTCTAGAGACACTGCACTCCAACATCCTCGTTATGATTGCAGTTGTGAGTTCCAACTCCACCGTGCACACAGTCAAAGATATCAGTCTCTGTTCCCATGCACCGCAGCTCGTCCAACCAGATCTTACCAGAACCTGTCAAAGGACAGCAGAAATCAATATTAGACAAATAAAGCACAAAAACTAAATTATTTCACCTGACTCTGAATTTATTTAGTTTTTATGATGTCAAAACGTTAGTATATTAGTTTAGTCTTCTTCTTTTAGTCTTCCAACTGAAACAAAAAGCTGTTAAAATATCTGAATATGTCAAGACTTTAATACATAATCCTATAAAATGCTGAGAAGAAATCTGAATGTGCAGACCGCCGGCCGGGGCATTCATATAATCATCACTGGGTCCAGCAGTGGAAGGAAGGTTGAAGACAAGATGTTTGAGGGAAGCATGAAATATTTCTGTTAACCAATCCAGTCAGTTTTAAAATAATGTGGTCAACATGAGACTCTAGGACTGTTTTTTAATCATCAACAATGCCAAGTATAGGTTTATATAAACTCTATAGCTATGCAATTTATAGAGCTCGTATAGGCAGGATATAGCATTTTTGGTTTGCAAACAGCATGGCCTTTGTTTTGTCAGCATTAAAAACCAGTTTGAGCTGAAGTAGATCTCATTGTATGGAATGAGATCTGCTGTACTTGAACTCAAACTGGTTGAAGTAGATCTCATTGTATGGAACCAAATGCAGACCGCAGACACTTAAGAACAGATGTTACAGACAACAAACCACAGTGTCATCAGCATATAAACACATCCTGGCATTAGAAACATGTTGATCAACATCATTAACATGAACTGAAAACAGTATAGGACCAAGAATAGAGTCTTGTGGGACTCCTTTCATGATTTTCAAACAATCTAATGACATACTGCTGTTTTATATGCATTGTTGACAACGAGACAGACAGCTTTAAAACCATCTGTTTACTGTGAAAGACCAATCTCTAAAAGCTTCTGACGGAGGATGGAATGATCTACTGCGTCAAAATGGCAGCACGATGGATCAGTGGTTAGCACTGTTGCCTCACAGCAAGAAGGTCCTGGATTCATTCCCCGGTTGGACCTGGGGTCTTTCTGTGTGGAGTTTGCATGTTCTTCTCGTGCTTGCGTGGGTTTTCTCTGGGTACTCCGGTTTCCTCCCACAGACCAAACACGTGCATGTTAGTCTGCCTTCAGGTCCAGGCCTCTCTTGTAAAAGAGACCTGTGATCTCAGTGGGATTTACCTGGTTAAATAAAGGTTAATAAAAGCCTTGTGTAAGTCGATGAAAAGAGCCGTACAGTATTATTGGGTGTCCCAGGCTTCCATTATACCATTTAACACTTTATTATTGGACATGTTTTGACTTCCATTCATTTCTGTAACTTGGACCTCAACACTAAACCTAACTATTACCAGAACATGCCTAAACTTTAGGTAAACTCAAGTTACTTAACACTTGACCTCTAACTCCAATATGAGGTTAGATTGTGGTAGGACTGGGCTTTGGGCCCCACAAGAACTTTATTTGAAGGAGTTTAAAGATCTTTATTTGGTCTAAAGCTCCTAAGGATGTCTCTGGTTGTTTTGCACATCTGATGGGCGTCTCTTGATTACTTTGTAGATCAGAAAAATGTCTGATTGGTCTTTGGGTCAGGAGGATCTCTCTGATTGTTCTGTAGATCAGATCACTGAGTTGGTTCCTCCTGACCATCAGGTGACTTTGTCATGTTGCTGATGATGGAGAACATCTGAATCTCCCAGATGAACTCAAAATCTCTAGGCAGCCCAGTGTCCAGGACACCACCCAGAGACTTTAAAAACCTTGTTAATCTAAACTGTTTGATGCATAAGCACCAACAACCGTCCAACTCCACCCTACAGCAGCTCAAAGCCCAGAAAGGAGCCTTCTGGGAAAAGCTGAACACTGAGGTTCTCGTCAATAAAAAGTGGTGGTACAGTGAGTACTGGTCCACCTTGACCCTTCTCCCTGCAGGCCTGGCTCCAGAAGGGAGCCCCGTTTCCCTTTTTCAGCCAAGGCTGCCTGTTGCATGTGATGAGATCCTCCTGAATCATCTTAACATTACTCCTGGTGGGATTATTCTCTTGAGGCCCGTTTGACCCAGACATCAGAGCCCCCGGATCATGGGGTACCCAGACATCACCTCAGGGTGATGATTCTGTGGAGGAGCATTCTAACAGTCACTTTATGACGTTTGCTCACTGTATTAAAATTATTTGTATTCAATTACCTTTTTCCATAGAACAAATGTAAACACCGATGAGGGCTGTTAATGATAAAGTGATTGGATTCGTCTGAAGAACTTAGATAATATGTAAAGACATAAAATATTTCACTGAGCAGAGGGGCAGGTTTCTTACCTGGGGGGGCAGTGAAGGTGGTAACAACCGATTGGAAGCCCAGCATCTTACAGATCACCTTCCCATCCAGACCGTCGAAGCTGTCGTCACAGATGGTGCCCCAGATGTCATCGTGGAAGACTTCTACCCGTCCTCTGTTTTTTCCAGGCACGAGACGCACAGTCACTGTCGTGACACAAAGTTTCAGATGGGTGGAAGGAACAACGAGCTTCAACAATCTGCTCTGTCGTCCAAAAGAGACAGTTAACGTGTTACATGGTGATTCCTGACAAGCTTCTTTTAGCTAGAACGGTTCAGTCAGGGTGAAACTTTGACCCACTCTTCTTCCAGGGTTCCTTCAGTTTACTGAAAAGTTTCCATAAACTAAACTGAACCTGAATGACTCCAAAATGCAAACATTAACATCTACTTGAGGTGAGATGTTTGAAGGAGTGGCTCCCCCAAGGTGCCATTTAGCCATTAGCTCAGCCTAGATAAGAACGTCTGCCCTTTTCCTCTGTGCTCATGAGGTCAAAGGTTAAACAGAACATCACTTCGAAGGTTAGGGTGGCTTGGCCCAGTGGGTATGGGAAGTTATCTTCCAATATAATAACGGGAGGTTTGATCCCCAGCTCCTGCACTGACAGCTGACACTGAACACCCCCCCCCCCCCCCCCCCGCTCCTGATGCTTATCTGTGTGAGCAAGTTATAAAAGTGATTTAAAAGCACAAGAAGAGAGTGGATGGTTGAGTAAGAAACATTATAAAGTAGAGTCCAACTGATTTGGAGGTTCATCGCGATACGATATGTCCCCATTCGCCTATATCGACCCAAAATATCGGCCCTACCGATACATCGGCTGGACTCTATGATAAAGTACTCTGCACAACCTGAAGAGGTTAAAAAGGTTAAAAATGTAAGTTGTTATAAGTGTAGACTATTTAAACAGGACTAAAAAATCCCCTTTAAATTTGTGATTAAACAAGTTAAACCTGGGGATTAATGCGTGATTACCTCATACTTAATCAAACTGGTTCGGCTTTGTGGTTGAACTGGTTTAACCTCATGAATAAACTGGTTTGAGTTCACGGTTGAACTGGTTTAACTTCCTGTTGGGCATTACCATCGCTGTCCAAAGTGTGTTGGTGTTCTGTGCACTTACCCAGAGATGCTGCTTCACCCTTTTCTCCTTTGGATCCTTGGGGTCCAGGAGGACCTATGGAGGAAAATTGTCCAAATCAGTTTTCAATCCAACTGGCCGAGACACAAACATGTCGTATTAAAGTAACTTAACATGATTATGAGTTTATCTATAGAAGGTTGTTGGTAAAGTTTGGGTTTCAGCTTTTATGCTAGTTTTAGTTCAATCTGCTAAACAGATGAACGAGCTACAAATGACTGATTTAAATTTAATTCAGTGAGTACCAGTTCCCAACTAAAATTATAATCCACTCACCCACGTTGCCTTGAAGACCAGAAGGTCCTCTGTTTCCTGTGGAGAAGACAATAAAATACGAGTAAATAAGCCTGATACGTACACACCCTGTCACAGAAAGAGCCGGCAGTACGCAGGCGTCCCCGTCTCTGAGCGGGTTGAACAGTGAAAGTTTGTAGTTTTATCTGGACTGGAACTGAACAGAGAGTTTAAACCTGGATGTTTCTGGTGCAAGATGTTTAAAAGTGTAGGAGTTACACTGTGGACAAGAACAGAGGGAGAGTTTTTATCGCTTGTCCAAGACGTGGCAGAGTGACGGATGCCGGCAGGTGGAGGGAGCAACTTCATCCACCACCAGGTGAAGAGGTGGAGCCAGGGGGTGGCCAATGGTGGCCTTGGTCCCATAGATTAATCTTTAGCCACCCTAATCATTGGAGGAAACTATACATTTAAGTATTATAAAAACTAGAAAGCAGTTTCCTCAAATGGTAGGAGTGCTCAGTTTACATATTAATACGGCAGTGGCCATCTTGGATTTTGACTCGGTAACCCAGTTTTTAATGGGGACCTTTTTATTACGCCGATGCAGCCACACATCAAAATGGACGTCAGCACATTGCTTATTTTTGAAGTTCTTCAGCTTACGATGTTTACAGATATACCGATGTGGCAGCAACCATCTTGCAGTTTGACTTTGCAACCCAGTTTTGGAAAGGAACCTGTTTTACGCCTAAATGCTGCCACACACCAAAATGGTATTTTCGAGTTATTCTCACAACACGAGTGCCCTTGGGGGACAAATAGGGAGGAAACCAACAGTTTAAATTTACTTTTAGAGGCCAAATCCTCTCAAAAACTGGATATGACGTCACACACAACACAATTGTGTTCTAGTTACCTCTCAGAAAACCAGCTGGGTTGTTAATTGTTGATCTCTAAAATCAGGCCAGCTTTTGTTAGCAATAGCTTGTAAATACTGTGTCTGCTTTCAAACATTGTAGCAACAAGTTTTCTAATGTTGGTTGTAAATTATTGTCAATAGGTTTCAGTGGTTCAGCAAAATAACTGTAATCAAAGACCCAAACCCCATGGTATTTGTGGTCCTTGATCAGACTTGTCATTGGTAATGTCTTCTGTCATCCATTAATAAAAACTTGACCTGGAGGTCCCTGTAACCCAGCACTCCCGTTGTCTCCTTTTAGTCCTTTGAGTCCAGGAAAACCAGGTTGTCCAGAATTTCCTGCACAACAAATCAACCATCAGGACATTAGAAATCTGACAAAAACCAACACAGACAGAAATCTACACATCTGGAATGCAACAATGCAGTGAAGGTAATAATCATCAAGTGTTCATTTTGTAAGTTTGCTCACTTACAAAATGAACACTCTCGTTTTATGGTATATTAATTTTAATGAAAGGAGGCAGAATATCATTTATATACATTAAGTAAACCGTCACTGGTACTCTGAGGAGATTCAGACGTTTCTTTGCTCGTTGGCTAACGAGAGAATTCAGATGGCGTTAAACCAAATGGACTCAATTTACGGGCTCCAGTCAGCGGAGGGAAGGTGGCTTTGACTCGGCCACAGAGTTTTTGGAAATCAAGGCTGAGGATGGTGAGTGTTTTGTGACTTTATTTCACTTATTTGCCCATTGATGCGTTCTGTTTGCCTTGGATAGAAAATATAGTGGCAGAAGTTTTGGCGGCTGTACTGTGAAAATCCTGCACTCATTGAGGCAACACTCAAGTTATATCAAAGACCACCCAGACCGTGCACACCTGAGTAGAGTCAAACTGAGTCAAGGTGAGACTGGACAATAATAAAAAACCCATGTGAATAAAGCCACCTGTCCATTGAACCATGTTCAGTCATTCCAACCTCTCCAGCAGCATGGGCAGACCAAAGATCTGTCAAAGGACTTCAAGGAACAGGTAGTAGACATGCACAAGGCCCATTGGACCACAAGACTACCAACAAGAAGCCTAGTGAGAAGGTGACAACTTCAGGTCCCCCTGCTGTGATTCAGATAAAGTTTGAAAGAAGGCACTGTGGTCAGGAAAGACCAAAATTCAGTTCTTTAATGTCAACTTGACCCACTGTGTTTGGAGCGATTCCAATGCCTGAAGAACACCCTCTCTTCAGTCAAGCACAGACGTTAAAACATCATGGTTTGATCTAACCAAGTTAAGACAGGTCATCTGGACAATTCATCTTTGTTGAACAAAGAATAATTCATCCAGAAGACCTGTCTTAACTTTGTTAGATTTTTCTACCTGGATTGTTGAGCAGCATCGGGACATTGTGCTTTGATGTTGCTTTGTCTGGTAAGGATGGAAAACAGCCAGTGAACGATGCCATGCATGATAAAATCTCAAACAAGAACTTTTTTCTTTCGACCGAAACACTCAATAAAGGTCAAGGATCAAGTCTCCAGACCTGGGTCCTGTAGAAAATCTTTGGTAAGTTTTGAGTGGAAGTACAAACTCCTGAGAGTTTACAGAGAAAGTTCAGAATGATCTAAAGCCTCTTCTCCAATAAGTACCGCTCTAATCGCTTCGTTTCTATTCATTTCTACTCAAGTGAAGATGCATCCCCATTGAGGGTGTGTTCCTCACTCATTCAGCAGGACCATCGGCAGGCGGTGAACCACCTCCATTCCCTCCAGTTTGGCCCACTTCGCCTGATGTGATCCTTTATCATTTGGTACTAACTTCATTTTATAAATTTGTCACGGCACTGCTTGTAAGTGCGAGTGTAGCCGTGGGTGGCCAGTTTCTCCGACACCTTCTGGTAAACTCATTTGTTCCTCGTTGCTCTGTCAATCTCGTGACAGGCAACATGCACGTACAACTCAATGATCGGGTTGAAAATGGCGCTTCAGGAGAGGTTTGCAAGGACCGCGTTGGCTCATACAGTGACATCAGTCCACGGGCCAATGAACAGCAGTTTGCTGCTTGTTCGGCTCAGCTCGCTTGGAACCACGGCCAAGACGGTTCCAAAAACTGAGCAGGAACAGGTAGTGGAGACACTTGGCCGATGCTGAGTTGATGTAAGCTGAGTAAAGTCACGCTTGTGGAGAAGAGGCTTAAAGGATAGAAGCTGGAGAACAAGTGCACTGTAGTGAACCAGATAACCTCAAATCTAACAGAAATGTGAACGAGAGACGTTATTTATCTTTGACCCATCAAATGAATGGAATCATTTATTTTCAAAATCAAAGTTTAACATCAAACATTTACATTAATTTGGCAAAATATGAAAATAATAACAGACAGTTTCACAGAAAATGAACTTCAAATCACTCGGCGGTGATTTGAGGACTTTGCTTCAGATATTCCTAAAAATATCTGTACTGATTTATGAGAGAGAAGAGTTTAAGATTAAATTGAGATTTATCTTACAGAGGAAATGTGTGAGGGAATTTAATCTGTTTGACCAGAAGTTGCACGCTCCGTCAGATCTCCAGCCTGTCCACGGTACACTTTAGTCGAAGAAGAGGCCGTTACCTGATTGATGATAGATCAGCTCAGTAAGAATCCTTTTCAACTGATATCAGCGTCTCCGTTGAAAACAGCTAAAATCCTCGAAGAGTCGTGCGTGGTTAGTTCAAAACAGAATTATAATCCCAAAACCTCTGGATTCTTCATTGCTCTGAAACTTTCAGAACCGGCTGCACTCTCAATCTGCTCATTCTGTTGGACTATCGGACCTGTTGTCAGCTCCCAATCCAACATCTCTCAGAACTCTCAATCTAACTTGAACTGGGGAGTTGCCACATTTTATTTGGGTCGACTTCCTGTTCAATTTAGAGCTTTCTGATTCGTGGAAGGACCAGAAAGAGGAGTGGTTTTTGACGTAAGGTGTTTATCAACAGTCGAGGTCAGAGAATGAAACTTGTTTAACATACAGAAAAGATTATTGCAGAAGCAGCAGACTTTTTGGAGTCTACTCTTAGTAATCTTCTGAAAAAGTTTAAACATGACATTTCTTCTTCAGTAAACATTTTAGTTGACCGAAGACCAACCTTTCACATACTTACGACAGCTTGCTCATTTCAGACAGAAAAATCAAGAAAGGCATATTCAGGTGATTTCTGCTTTGAATGAGGAACAAAAATCATTACTTACTGTTTATGTAAAATAAAAATTAGTAGTTCTTTTCAACCTGTAAAGCATTGAGTGAACTAACACAATTTGATTATCAAAACATTTGTAAGACAGTAATGATTATAAAGAATTGTCTTTTCTGCTTGATTAATTCAAGAAAGAAAGTCATCAGATGGTTCAGACTTATTCAGATCAATGAAAATAACAGTCTCTGTCCATCTGGTAGATTTGAGGTTATCTGGTTCACTACAGTACCTTACCACCAAGAAGGGTTTACATTCTACAAACACCCAACATGAAGACTAAAACCAGTCAGGGTTTCCAGTCAGAGACATTCAGAAACATAGCTCACCTTTCTGACCAGGACCTCCAGGGGCTCCTTTGTCTCCATGAGGACCTGAAATCAGAACAAAAGAAATTCAGACAAACTCCGGACTTTCCTTGTAGAAACATCACAGTTACACAAATCCTCACCTGGAGCACCGGTGTCTCCTTTAACACCTTTCTCCCCTGGTGGCCCTTGGATCCCTAGAGGACCTGTCTGACCTGCAGTGCCCCCCCCCCAACCACAGATACATGGTATTAATAACTGCAAGTCAAACAGATATTCAGAGGTTCTTGTGGTGTCAGCAGTATTCATAATGAGCGTCAGAGATTTCAAGGAGGAAGAGAGACTCCAGGGTTTCATAACTTTCATCTGCTGACGCTTGAGTTTTGTTATCCAGGAAAGAACGGAGGTTGTCCTCAAACACTTAGTGGATGTGACATAAAACCAGGAGGTGTGGATCAAGTTCTCTGTTACTGTTTGAAGGATACAGAGTAACTGAGTCACAGTGTCACTTCGGTCTAATTCAAAACCAAAACTCACCTTTTTCACCAACTCCTGCTGCTCCTGGATCCCCTTTTAGACCCATGTCTCCTTTTGGTCCTGAGGGCCCAACAACTCCACTTTCACCTGAAAGATAAGGTCCAACATGGGATTTGGTTGGATGTGTTGGGTCGGACAGGTCCAGTTTGGACAAACATCTGACTGTCCAGTAATGTTTAACTACGTGTGTGACGGTTATGTAAAACTTAAGACATTGTTTCTGACGCACCTTTTATGCCTTTCTGTCCTGGACTGCCAGGCAGCCCGTTTGAACCTGGAGAACCTGGAGAACCTGGAGGTCCTGGGAACATGAATACAAAGAGAACCTATGGTCAGAACATGAGCATAGAGTTTTTCAGAGGTTTTCATCCAATCTTCATGAACACAAAGGTCAGATTAATTTAGGTTTTGATTTTTATTTTGACAAGACCAAGTCCTATCAACTTCCTGTTAGGAATCATGACTAACTGCACCTCGTGGGTTCTCTTTGCCAACATAAGCAATTTTGTTTGTCACCTCTCACTGTCTATCTGCTCCTCTCATGATGAAAAGAAGTTGTTTCAAGTGATCAAAGAGAACACAGGAACCACCAAGGCTCAAGCCTGAGATGACCTGGAATCTGCCAGTGTCCCTGTCCGCGGTGAAGCAGTTTTACAGTTCGAAAGAAGCGCCGTCTTCAAAGCAGAGACCTTACAGCAGGACAGAATCCTGCAGCTGTCCACATGGACAAACCAAACATCTTCAGGAGAAAAGGATGATGTTCAGACCTTGTGAAGATTGTTATTTTGGCTAAAATGAAACCTAGAAACACTGAACCAACTGTCAAGCATGGTGATGGTAACATCATGCTGTGGTTTGAAGTGGATAGAATAAAGAAGAAGAAGGACATCCCCCAAAATCTTTAACTCCACCTCAAATCAATAATTGGTGTACCGAAACTTTGACACAGTTGTGTCTTCTAACACGAGAAGCTGGTCTGTGATTGGATGAAAGATCAGAGCTGGTCTGTGATTGGACGAAGCATCTGAGCTGGTCTGTGATTAGATAAAAGATCAGAGCTGGTCTGTGATTGGATGAAACATCTGAGCTGGTCTGTGATTGGATAAAACATCAGAGCTGGTCTGTGATTGGATAAAACATCAGAGCTGGTCTGTGATTGGATGAAAGATCAGAGCTGGTCTGTGA